ACACGAGTCCACTGAAAACATGAGTCCACTGAACACACAAGTCCACTGAACACGAGTCCACTGACCAAAGCAGCCCCTGCCCGGTTTGGAGGCGGCACTGAAGCCATTTCTACACCAGAACGAGCTGATGTTCTGCTCCTGCATGGAAACCCCACTTTAAGGCAAACATGGCTCATTTATCCCTCTGCTCCAGCATTCATGACTGCGTCAGTCCACAAAGCATGCAGAGGACATGCAGACTAGGAAAACTAGACCAAGATGCTGCAGAATCAGTCTGTTAGGCTGTTATACACCGGACGTGCTTTGGGAAGCAATAGAGCTCCTACTGCTTCATCTTTGGTGCTTCTGCTGCTCCTGTGTTCAATGGCAGAGCGGCTTTGCTATATGTGCTGTCATCAGTGGATAGAAGGTGGTTTGAAAATGTTTTTAAGTGAGAAAGTCCACCTTAAAACATGGTCTGTGCTGTGTGCTCATCCAGATTACCATCCTGCCTTCAATTATTATTTCTCCCCCTCATACCGGCGCTGCGCTCTCATTGGGAATCCCCAGCAGCAGCTGCCTCCGTCACCTCTTGGGGGTTTCCCCTACTGTTGGTGGGGGCTGGAAGTAGATGTCAGTTTTTTAAGGTATGTGTTGCAAACTGCAGGAATCAGGATAATAAAAACCAACATATTTTGCTGTAAATTTAATTTTAATTAAATGTAATTTTAATTAAATTTAGACATTAATAAAGGAGTGATCATAGCGCTCTGCATCAGCAGTGCTGTGTCTGTCTCCCTGCCAGCTCCCAGATCAGCTTCTCTGATTGGTTGATGTGGCGCATCCAGCAGCTGAAGTTTTTCCAGCTCCAGAAGCTGCTGCCGTGCCTCAGATGCTGAGAAGCTCGTGAGGCGCTGCTTCAGCTGCTCTAGATGCTGCAGGACCCTTCAATTCGCCTTGATGCGCATCAACCGATGTCTTTACATGTAAACCGGCTGCTTCTGCTGCTTCTATCGGTAGCATTAGTCTCTGCTTCCTCCATCTACGGTGAAACACAGCAGATAACCAGCAGGAGTCTGTCTGGGAGGGCTTACAGCTTCTCTGTTAGCCCATAGGCTGTCAGTGGTACCGTAGGTTTTCTTGGTTAGTCTACTGGGAATAATGGTATTGATGTTAAAGTTGGGGAGTGTTGGCCTAGTGGTTAGAGCAGTGTGCTTATGCTCTGAGAAAGTATCAAGTACCCGGTTTGATCCCTTAGCAAAACCCTTGACCCCACACTGCTCCCCGGGTGCTGCACAATGTCAGCCCACTGCTCCCCAAGGGGATGGGTTACATGCAGAGAGAAAGTTCCCCACTGAGGGACAATAAAGGGATTTAGATGACAAGATGAAGCACATTGTGATCTGACAAACCTCTACAGAGCAACTTTTTACACTGAAATCAGCCAAAGTTTGATTATTAGGATGATAACATGACAGACTTTGCTCACCAGCAACTTCAACGATGTCTCCTGGAACGATGTCTCTGGCTCTGACTCTCTGCACGCTCTTCTTGTCCTGTCTGTACACCTTGCCCATCTCGGGTTCATACTCCTTCAACGCTTCGATGGCATTCTCTGCATTTCTTTCCTGATGGACACAGAAAGTATCTGAAATATCTTTGCTTTATCTGCGTTTAACAGCTATATCCCGAAGTTCATAAACAAAGCAAAACCATGCAGGCTGGATGTGTTTCCACAGCATTTAAGATAATCCAGCAACTCATTCAGAAAACGTTATTAATCCCAAAGTGATGCTCAAAGTACAGGGATGGAAATGAACCAGTGAGGACACCTGTGGAATGAACACTGTCCTGTCAGAGCCGGCAGGAAGGAAGGAGGTGGAGCCAGTTTGCTTCAAACAGCAGAGGGCGCCTCAGAGCTTCCCATAATCCTTTGTGTGACAGGAAGAGCTACCCTCACGCCGTTTAACAGAATAATTATTAGTTCCCTGCTGATGTTCAAGCCTTCATGCTCTCTGGGTTTTATATTAGAGAACTTCAGCTCTTCTTTACATTTCAGTAACATTTTTAGAAAGCTGGAGTCCCAATCTGAACCCATTTTTTATTCGAGTCTGTTTTCTGTAAGAATGCGTTCTGCTCTGGGACTCCAGCTTTCTAAAAATGTTACTGAAATGTAAAGAAGAGCTGAAGTTCTCTAATATAAAACCCAGAGAGCATGAAGGCTTGAACATCAGCAGGGAACTAATAATTATTCTGTTAAACGGCGTGAGGGTAGCTCTTCC